CAGATTTGTGCCTCACCTTACTCCGCCCCCAGCAGCATCCTGTACTGGTGGCCCTGTGTTCCTGTTTCTCGACTTGCTCTGATGGCTGGCTCCTCCATCTTCCTGTTGCTCTGCCTGCTTCACTAACTTTTTGTCTACTGCTTTCTCCTTTCTTGATTCCTCACCATGGCGGTGACTCACAGATCAGTTGATTTCTCCATGGAAACATGTTCACTGTGCCTTGTACAGGGACAATAAGTTCTGTCTACATTATTTTAAGAGTGTTTTAATGGGTGCAGTTACACCAGAAGACACAAGAGTTATTCCGCTGTGTGCCATACTCAGATGCAGCAGTTAGAAATAGAGAGATGTGTCTGCTACCAGTTCAAACCCCACAGACAGTATTGCTGGTGCTGACTCTATTTGTGAAATGATGAATGAGATTCCACTGATGTATATTGTAGTTGTAATTCCTGGGTTGTTTCTTTGTTTTGGTTTGGTCTTGATTTTGTTTTGGTTTGTTTTTGAGACAGGGTCTTACACTGTATATCCCTGGCTGACCTGGAACTTGTCATTTAGACCAGGTTGGCCTGCTTCAGGCTCCCAAGTCTGGGGATTAAAGGCATACACCACTATACCCGGTTTGACTTTTGTTTTTTGAGACAGGGTCTTAGTGTGTAGCTCAAAGTAGCACTGAACTCTGGGTCCTCCTGAGTGCTAGGTTTATAGGCATGTACTAGCAGATCCAGGTCCCTAGAAGATTCTGTTACTGGGGAAAGCCCTAGACTTATGGAGAGATGGCTCAGTGGTTAAGAGCACTTGCTGTTCTTGCAGAGAACCCTCAGACTTTCCCCAACTCCTTTTATTTCTTCCTGTCTACTTATGCCTGGTCAAAAATTAGGGCTCAGGAGCTGGAGAGATGGCTTGGTGGTTAAGACCACAGGCTGCTTTTCCAGAGGTCCTAGGTTCAATTGCCAGCACCCACCTGGTGGCTCACAGTTGTCTGTAACTCCAGTCTCAGGGGAGCCTCTTATGGCCTCCTCTGGCACCAGACACACATGTGAGCCATAGATAAATATGCAGACAAAAACCCATACACATAAACATAATTAAATTAAACAACAAAACAAAAACAGCTGGGTGGTGGTGTATGCCTTTAATCCCAGCACTGGGGAGGCAGAGGCAGGTGGATCTCTGTGAGTCAAGGTCAGCCTGGTCTACAGAGATAGTGGTAGAACAGCCTCCAAAGCTACAGAGAAACCCTGTCATGGACACCCCTCCCCCAAAAAAAATTCAAAAGAATTAGGACCCGTCTTGGATTCATCTTCCCTTTTACCCATAAATGGTGCCTGTATCCAGCTCCTCTCCTGGCCCAGCTCCCCCCCACCCCCCAATGTGGCTGCCTTAAGCTTCTCTTCCCAGCATAGTTGTCATAGCACAGTAACCTTTAAACATGTATGTGTGAATCACTTGTGTGAGTTTGTGTGTACTATGCATGTGTTTGAGTGCTGGTATGTGTACTACAGTTGGTATGTCGGGTAAGAGAACAACTTTCAGGAGACCTTCCCTTATTGTAGGTTCTGGGGACGAAATTCAGATTGTCAGGCTTCTCCAGCAAGTGCTTCTATCTGCAGAACCATCTCTAGACCCATACAATTCCATTTTAAAAGCACGTTTTGCTTGTTGGTGTTCCAGGACTTAATGGACCTGGTTACAGAGTAAACAGCAAGTCATTGTTATAATTGAAAAGACAAATGAGCATGAAGAAAATTGAAACAACCCACTCAACCTTTTTCTGTGGTGAGGAAAGACAAGGTCCCTGTCCTGCAGCCTGAGCTAGTATGCAGCAGCAACAGTGAGCATGGGCGTGTGCCACGGGCTGGGAGCAGTGTGGAGGGAGCTGAGGAGTTTATCTTCTGCAGGTCTTCTCTCCATGGCCAATTCTGGCCCAAACACCAACGGCTCCCAGTTCTTCCTGACTTGTGACAAGACAGATTGGCTGGATGGCAAGCATGTGGTATTTGGGGAGATCACGGAGGGCCTGGATGTCCTACGGCAGATTGAGGTAGGTGGTGGGACCTTGGGTGGGCACCCCAGTGGGAGAGCTGGAGGGGGCTCTCTATAGCCAGGGAAGGGGACATTTGGAAGAGGTCCCTGTTTGGGAGTGGGTGACCCCTGAGCAGCTAGCTCACAGCCTTGTGCTTCTCCTGACTCTCTGTTCTGCTCACAAAGGCTCAGGGCAGCAAGGACGGGAAGCCAAAGCAGAAGGTGATCATTGCTGACTGTGGAGAATACATGTGATGCTTTGCTCAGCTCTCACCTCTGTAAGACAAGGATGGAACCGCCTGACCTGGTGCTGAGTGGGTCCTGTGAAGCAATTGTGTGTCGCCCAAGCCCTTCGGGTCAACTTCCTTAGCAACAGCTCCTCTGCAGTGCCCAGGCTCTTAGACGTGGCTGTGCCTTAAAGCCAGCATAGGCAGTGTGCTGCCACATCCTGTCCTGGGGGCTTTAGCCACTGAGTGGCTTCTTTACTAAAATAAACTGGTTTTTGTACTGTTGCCTCCAGCAAGTTCCTGGGAGTTATCCATTAGCAATCACATCCATGGCTCCGCTGTCCCCTGGATAGGATGGCAGGTTTGTGAAGGTGTAATACTTTCCTATGGCGTTTGTTTCCTTCCTGGGAAACACACCAGGTAATGTATCTTTATGCCCAATGTCATTGTCAGAAATCAGAGCTGCCTGTCTCTGTTGCGTGTGTCTGGAACTCTTGCTGGTGATGGCCTGCTGTTGGCCTCAGTAGCTCCAATGTCTAACATTCACAGTGCATTCCCAGATTTTTTTAATGGTATATTATAACTCAAAGAGCCAGCTCTGCCAGGAGACAGGTTGGCATACCACTGGGCTTGGGCAGCCTGCTGCTGATATCTGTGAATGGGGTTTAATTGAGACACAGCCATATCCATTTATGTTTGAACACTACTTGTGGCTTCTTTCTCATTACAGCGGTAGAAGCAAATAGTTGGTGGCTGACCATCTATTTGTGTATTCTCAGGGTGTGTGTGTGTGCGTGCGCGCACGTATGCATATAGATATATGTGTGTATACACATATGTACTGACTAGGGAATTGGCTCTGTTTATGAGGAGTAGCAGGTCGTGTGTGCACAGCAGGCAGCAGACTGGAGACACATGAGAAAACTAATGCTGAATGTAGAATTCCTCGATGACTTTAGTCTTTTTCCTCCCAGGGCTCTAACCCTGATTCAGTGAGCCCCACTTACCCCCTGCCTTACTTCAGTGAATTAAATACTAGTCTATGTAAAGCATACCTGCACAGGAACAAGGAGAGTTGGCCCTGGCAGATTGACCTGCTATGTTCTTTATTCAGAGGTCAGCCTCAGTGAGCAGGAACCAGTCTCACGACAGGCATTTGAAGCCACAGTACTTAGGAGAGGCCATGTGTAAAAAACTTAGCAGAGATTGCCAAGAGATGATGAGTTCCTGTGACAGTGAACCTTTTCACAGATAGCTTAAAGAATGATGCCAGGAGGTGGTTGAGGACAGATACATACTGGAACCCTGCTGTTTCTGCTTCTGTTGCTGTGATAAAACACCATGACCAGAAGCAACTTGAGGAAAGGTTTTGCTTATTTGGCTTACTTTTACACCATAGTTCATCATTGATGGAAGTCAGAGTAAGAACCGAAAGAGAAACCATGTGGAACATTCTTTCACTCAGTGGTGGTACTGTCCACAGTGGTTTGGGCTTTTCTCCATCAAGAAAATGTCCCACAGGTGTGCCCATGTGCCAATCTGATGAAGGCAATTCCTCATTGGAGAGTCCCTCTTCCCGGGTGTCAAGTTGACAGCTAAGATTAGCTGTCAAAACCCTGTACAAAACCTCTGCCAAAGATAATCCAGCTGCAGTGGGGGTATGGTGGGGCTTACCTTGGCTAGTGACAGTAGAGTACCAAGCTGGGGCTCAGGGAAGACAACTCTGGAAGGATAGCTGAAGTCCTCGACAGGAGATGGCCTTGGTCCCGTTAGGCAGGACTCAAGCGAGGCTCTGGAGCCTGGCAAGAATGCCCAGGAGCATAGCTATGCAGCTTCCCTTCCTCCCCATGCAACTCCTGCCGTCCTCTGCAGCATGGACCATGAGCACCTGAAGGGCAATGACCCTTCCCTGGGGCTGCTTGGCTTCTGTTCTGGGGTCATCTTGCCCATGATACCTTTGCTCCAGCACCAAGACAGCACAGCTTTGTCTTTCTGGCTAATGCTGAGTTGTATGCCTGCCTGTGATGGCTGCACCAAGGCAGAAATGGGGACCGTGGGTCAGGAAACTGAAGGCGTTTCCTTTAATGGCAGTGGCTGAATCCAGATGTCAAATCCACAGCAGCTTTCTCATCAGCTGATCTTGCCCGTGTGTGGCCGAGACTTTGTGCTGAGATCCATAAACACGCTAGGGGTTTGGTTGGTTGTTTTCTTTGTTCTTTTGAAAGATCTTGATATACATCTTGGGCTGGCTTTGAACTCATGATAATTCTGCCTCAGTCTTCCAAGTACTAAGTTTCATGCATCACTATCCCTGGCTTTTCCATTTTTTTTTTTTTTTTTTTTTTTAAATCTCCAGAAATCTCTGGAGGGAGTTAGTCATGTCTGCACACACCTAAGCCTTCTGGTGGCCACTAAAGAGCCTGAGGTCTATCTCGTGCTTCAGATTCAGGTCAGGCTGGGTCAGTAGTCAACATGAATAGGTGGGTAAATTAGACTTCTGTGCCAATCTCAAAGGACATTCAATAGATGCCCCTGGGGAAGGGGCAGAGATAGGCTGCTACTTGGGGACTCAGGTCACCAGGGTTGTAACCAGGTCCACCTTCCCACCCTTGGGCTGAGGTAGGGGACAGAGGGGCCAGGAGAGGGCCATGCCTGTGAAAGAGGGCAGAACATGGACATAAGGGGCTATTTGTTTCCTGGTCAGAGGAGCTGACCAGGTAAATGACGTGATGGCAGCAGGCCGCTGACTCAGTGGCAGCCACAGGCCTGAACTACCATGTTGCGCTCCTTGCGCAGGATGACATTGTTGCTTCTGTCATAGTAGAGCACAGAAATGGCACTCAGCTCCGTGGGCACACAGCACACCTTGGGAACGACATCTGGCTTCGTCAGGTGTATCTGGTAGAGAGAGGATACAGATAGGAACATGAGCCTGATCTGATGGTCCTAGTTCCCACCCACTACCTTTCCAGAAGATTTTAGCCCTTTGACCATTCTCCACTGCAGCCACGTCTGTCCTGCCCGCTGCCCTCAAGGCAGCCCAGGCACCTGGCTTGGAGCAACTGATACATAAGCACTTTGGCACTCTCAGCCCCTGGTCCACTGTCACATCCTCTTCAGCCGAGTCTCAAGCTTACTGGTCCCCTCACTGCCCAGAATTGCTCTGTGCTTTACCACATCCCAACCAGGTAGGTGTAAGCTGTGGAAGGGGCAGTGTCTTTCTGAAGACTGAACTAGAAATGATTTTGCAACATATGTAAGTTCAAGGGCTCTTTCCTCTTCTTGATGTAGCTCAGCCTCAGCTTGTGAGACAAGGCTGTCTTTGCAGGTGATCAACAGGCTGCATGGAGTCCCCATGGCTCTCTGATGGTGTCACTGAGCTTGAAAAGGTGCCAATCCTTCTATCCCTCTTTAAAGTATGCACATCCATCCACCAGGCTGTGCATCTCCCAGGACAGTGGCTCCAGGCATCCAGCAAACACCAGTGCCCTTTGTGAAAAGACACCTTAATAACAGCTCAAAACAGCTCTTGTGAAGTCATGATGCTGTGGCCCTTTAATACAGTTTCTCATGATGTGATGACCCAACCAAGACGTTATTTCATTGCTCCTTTGTACTGTAATTTTGTTACTGTAATGAATAATGCAGGATATCTGATATTCAACCCCAAAGAGGTTGTGATGCACGGGTTGAGAACCACTGCTCTAGAGCATCATTTGGCACAACGGTCTATTAGGTAAACACACGGCCAAGGCCACTGGGTGCTAGGATTCCAGACAAAATGTTCTCGAAAAAAGTCTCAACACCAGGCTCTACAAGCACAAATATATGGCAATAGGCAGTTGCAGTTGCCTTCCTGCTAACAACTTCTATCACCAAGTGGCCAAGACTGTGGCTCATTAGTACTAAAGCCTGAGAGGACACACAGCCAGGAAAGAAGTGGGGAGCAAGCCCAGGAGGAGCCAAGGCCACAAAGAGCTGAGAGTTCAGGAGTCACCCAGCCGGGCAGGATGGCTGAGAACATATGAACATCAGGGAGCCAGATCTACCAGGATACACAGGGCACATGGGTCATGCAGGCCCCCAGTGGGCACCTGTCTGTGTGCATGCCTCAGTGTGACTACAGAGGCTGTATTATGTTAGTCTGTGCCCGACACAAGTCCACAGGTTTCCGCCAGTGCATGTGCAGTGTCTGTCCAGAGACACCATGTATATTTACTAAGGGACAGAAAAGAACTTAATGGTGAAGTCTGCAGAGGAAGGTCCTTTTGCCATTGTTCTTTCCACCCCCAGGCCTGTCCAGTCCCTCAGGTCCCAAGAAGGCCACTGTGATACTGACCAGGGCCTGCATGTTGGCATGATTGGTAGAGTTCATGGAAGAGTTCATTGGGTAGTTGCACTCTCCAGCACAGTAATAGGCTGAGTAGCCCTGAGGGGCAATGACGGAGTCCTGTGGGTGGGAAAAGGAGAGTCACATCAGTGTCCTTCCATAGTCATCATCACAGCACCCGGCACAGGATGACCTGGGGCTGTGAATGAACCCTCATCCCCTCAGCCACCCTCAGCAGGCAGGGCTGGACCCCACCTCTGTCCTCCACACCTCATCCTCTGCTGCCTCCTCCACAGCTGCCTTCTGCAGCAACTGTAGCAGGAAGAGCCCAAAGTCCCTGCCTACCCAGCCTCAGTTTCCCTGTTGACAGTTTACTGGGCAGAGGGCTCAAGTTGCCACATTTTCACGGATTTTATACATAGTTAAAGGCACAGTATCCCCACCTCCACCCTGGAGACACGAGGATGTGCAGGTGGCATTCAGAGAGGAGAGGCAGAAATTACCAGCCAGCCGAGGTCCCGGAAGCTGACATAGAGCTCATGCCTACGGCAAACATCTCTGCCTCTGGAGCCGTGACCATCATCTGCAGGGATAAAAAGGTATGGAGTCTGTTCAGGGGTCCTGCTCTGTGGAGTTGCCATGGGTACTCCCAATGTGGGGGTGATATGACAGGCACATTTACAAATGAAGGACAACAGGAAACTAAACCATTGGAATCACAAGTTCTCCTCCTGGATTCCTGCTCGTGCCATGACCCAGCTCAACAGTCCTCAGTGACTCTGCATCACCACAGGGTGTGGCTGTGTTCAGCAGGTGGCATCTGGGCACACATGGCTTCTGCCTTCCTCTGCAGACTCTTGACTGTAGTGAGATCTACCAGCCCTTGGGATTCTCCTGTATTTGTTATCAAAAAGAAATCTGGAAAATGGAAAATGCTTACAGACCTGAGAGCCATCAATAAAGTAATCCAGCCAATGGGCTCTCTACAGCCTGGAATGCCCTTGCACCTAAAGAGTGGCCTATTATAGTTATTGATTTAAAAGATTGCTTCTTCACTATACCTTTACAAGAAAAAGGGAAAAAATTGCCTTCATGGTGCCAAATTACAATAATTCTTAGCCAGCCAAGAGATATCAATGGAAGGTCTTGCCACAGGGAATGCTAAATAGCCCCATCCTGTGCCATTATTTTGTACAGAAAGCTTTGGAAATAATTCATAAAGTTTCCACAATCCATAATTTACTATTACATGGATGGTATATTGTTGACTGATTGTAAGGTAGAAATGTTAGAAAAAAATATTTGAGGAAGTAAAGAAGTTTTGTCTCACTGGAGATTACAAATTCCCCCCCAAAAAAATACAAAGAGGAGATTCTATCAATTATTTAGGATATAAAATAGGTCTATAGAAAATTAGGCCACAAAAAGTACATATCAGGAGAGATTGTTACTAGACTTTTAAAGATCTTCAAAAATTACTAGGAGAGATTTCTAAACTACAGACCATCATTGGAGTAGAGGGAATGATTTGAAAAACTTAAAAATGGCCCTAAAAGGGGACAAGGACTTACATAGTCCACGAATACTATTAGCTGAAGCTGAAAAGGAATTAGAGTGGGTAGAAAAGAGGATACTAGAGGCACATGTGGACTGTGTGGGTCCAAAACTAGATTGTATTCTGATTATATTACCATCTAGTGAATACCATTCAGGGATTTTGATGAGGAGGGAAGATATATTAGAATGGCTATTTTTACCACATAAACAGAATAAAAAACTAAAAACATATAGAAAAGGTCTCTTATTTGATTTTAAAAGGTAAATTAAGACTTCTTCAAATGACAGGAAGTATTGCGGTAAATAAGGATCAGGATAAACAAATAGGCCGAATAGATGTTTATTCAGGGAGAAATAACTTACAACCTAGACAGATGAACACCAGGAAATTCAACCCGATCCTCTCCTGTCCGAGTCACGCCAGCAAGAGAGAGCGCCTTCCTGGCCCCCTCCGACCTCCTTCCTCAGGTCACCTCCGCCCATCGCTCCACCCCCCAATGGGTGTGGTCAGTGCTACAGAAGGACTATCTCACTACAAGGGATCCAGCAGAAATTATAGTACCTTTAACTAATGAGGAAATGTCCTTCTTATGGAAAGATAATGAATATTGGCAGAGAGCATGCAGTAACTTTTTGGGAATGATTAGCAACAATTATCACAAAAGTGAAAGAATCAAATTCATAAAGAAAACAATTTGGATCCTTCCACGCATTGTAAGAAAAACACCAATCTCTGGAAGAAATCAGGTAAGGCAGGACATAAATCAGGAAATATAAGTAAAGTGGTTCAAAGCCCTTATAATGCAGTACAAAAGGCAGAACTGTACACCATTCTCATGGTACTTACAGATTTTACAGAACCTTTCAATATAGTTACTGACTCTCAATATGCAGACAGAGTCGTCTTACACATTGAGACAGCTGAATTTATTCCTGATGATACAGAATTAACTTCATTGTTTATACAATTACAAGAAACAATCAGGAATAAGACTCATCATATATATATACATATATATGCATGTGTATATATATATAGATATAGATATAATGTGTATATATATATCACCTCAGATCCCATACGGGTCTGCCAGGTCATCTAGCATAAGGCAATGATGAAACTGATCATTTATTAATAGAAATATGCTGGAGGCCTTGAAATTTCATTAAAAAAACACCATGTGAATAGCAAGGGTTTAAAAAGGGATTTTTCTATCACTTGGCAACAAGCTAAGGAAGTAGTAAAAAAAAAAAATTTCCTACTTGTTCATTTTATAACCAAACTCCTCTACCAGCAGGCAGTAACCCTAAAGGTATACATAGGAATAAAATCTGGCAAATGGATGTATTTCACTTTGCAGAATTTGGAAAATTAAAATATGTGCACCATACTATAGACACATTTTTCAGGGGTACAATGGGCCACTGCTCTGAGCTCTGAAAAGACTGATTCTGTTATCACACACCTATTAGAGGTAATGGCCATTATGGGTATACCTGCACAAATAAGAACTGACAATGCTCCAGCATATGTCTCCAGTAAATTGAAACAGTTTTTTAAATATTATAACATAAAGCATATAACTGGTATACCACACAATCCTGCAGGACAAGCAGTAGCTTTTGAGAGATCTAATTGCACTTTAAAGGAAATGCTATATAGAAAGGCAGAAGGAACAAAGACCCCCCCAAACACAGATTGCATAATGCCTTACTAACACTAAACTTTCTTAATGTTAATAAGAAAGGAAAAACAGAAAGACACTGGACAATAGGAAACACTTCTGAACTAAACCAGCCGGTGTACTTCAAATGTGATCTCAATATGGAAACCAGGATATGGGTATCTACAGGAGAAAAGCTTTGGATACCATCAAAGTTGATCAAGATCTGATTTGAACAAGAGAAACCTCTTGATGAGAAATAATAGGTCATCCACCAAGATATTTCCTACGAGTTGTATGAAGACCTCTCAAAGGTAATGGGAGTATTCTGTTCTTGTCTACAGGAAAACAGAAAACACCCATCTTCAAATAGCCAAAAGACACTGGACATGTAGATACCTAAAGAAGAGAAGATAGCTATCCAGAAAGAAACAAAGAACCTGACATATGGTACCAATATCTAATTCTGGCAAACTATTTCTATACAAAAATCTATTTCCTTTTACTTCCTAGTACTCTTTTAGTCCCAATTCATGTAAACCAATGCTGCCTTTGGAGTTTGATTTGGCTTTCCTGCTCTAAATACAAGCACGTTGTTAAAATAAAATTCAGAGTTTCTGTCTTACATCAAGAAGCCAATTGGTGTAAGACAGAAGAAAACAAAAGCTAGGAACTGCCATTTGTCTAAACTCAGTTCTCTCTCTCTGAAATCCTGATTTCCCTCATACTTATTTTCATCCTTACTGTTGACTTTCCCAGGATGCATACCTATAAAAGTAGAAATTTCCGTGTGGATATTAATGTTTAAGTTTTCCACAAGGAACAATAACAATTCCTAACAGCAATCTTAGAACTCTCCAGAAAGGTGAAGCCCCACTTCATCGACCCCACTTGATTCAACTTGATGCATCTGAACTACAAACACCACCCTAAAACCTGTTTGGGACTATAATGCTCGAGACAACTCCAGAGTAGCTAGCTGAAATGGTGCACCTTCTTATTACACCCTGGCCAGAGCCTCAGACAAGAACTTCAGTCAAGCAATTCCTGGCACTCAGACACTAGCTACAAATGTTACAGCTAATCCCATGGAGAAATTTTGTTGCCTCAATTTTCTTTCCTACAGGATTCCATGGAGTCATTGTTGTCCCATTTCAGCAGGAAGTAACCCTAAGAAAACAACACCCCCTTTCCCTACTGTTGGCATTAAGGGATAATATACACCTGCATAGGGTTGTTTTTTAGTTGCTTAGGGTTGGCTATGGAAAGTGATGTTCAGACTTGGGTATCCTCTTTTAGATAAGTTTAGGGTATGGTTGGGAAGGGTATGGTTAGAATGGGATATAGGTAGCTAACTATAGCAACTGTTAGCTATAGATAAATTGCTAGATCCTTGATAACTTAAATTGTTAGATTCCTGTATGTTGACTCCTTAGGTCTTCTTTCTGCTTATGATGTTTTGCACACAAATATAAATCTATCTGCCAGGCACAGCCCACCCTCCCTGCCAGGCACAGCCCACCCTCCTTGCCAGGCACAGCCCACCCTCCCTGACAGGCACAGCCTACCCTCCTGGCCAGGCACAGCCCTTCCTTCCTGTCAGGCACAGCCCACCCTCCCAGCCAGGCACAGCCCACCCTCTCTGCCAGGCACAAACCCAAAGGTAAAGGGGCTCTTGGGAAGACCTAGCTGACAGACTAGAAGAACTGGACATGTAAAGGAAGCCTCAGATCCCAGTCTGGCTCTCACCAAAGACTCCTGCGTGTTTGTTGGAATGCTGCATTTGGTTGGTTTTATTTAGCTGCCGTTTCCTCTTCAGTGGCCTCACTGCCCGAGGGGCCCTCACAGGACTCTGGCTGGCCCTGAAGAAACCAACCATGAAAGGCTGTCTGGACCGTGGTGCTTGTTGTCCGAGTAGACCAGCCAGGCCAGGATCCATGCTGTGCCCTGGGGGACAGAGACAAGAAACAATAGACTGACTGACTGACTTGTGGGTGGTAGTATGGCACCACGAGCCTCAGTTTCCTCATCTGGAGACCAAGCCAAGCCCTTCGGCCAGCAGGTCTGCAATGGCAGGGACAGGGACCTCAGCAATCACAGGCATTCCTGCTGGTGATAACCTGGCTGATGGGAAACATTTGGCAGGTGTCAAAGATTTTGCCTCAGTTGATCCTCACTGCAACCCAAGTCACAGTCACTCAGAGATGACCAGAGTCCACTGCTGGTGATGCTCAGGACCCAGACTCCCTTGGTCCAGTGATCTAACACCCAGGTCCCATTTTCATCCTGCAGCTTCTGAGGATTAGAACGTGCAGTCATAGCAGCCTCTGCAAGGACATCACTGGGACTTACTCTCCCAGCACAGCAAGCTTGAGTATCCAAGGCCCAGGCACTCACTGCCTCTCAGATGCCCACGGTCAAGGCCCCAGGCTGAGCAGGGCCAGAGGTCAGAACAGTCACAAAGTCCAGAGTTCAGACCCCATCAGGCTCATTCAAGTGCCCAGTGTGTGTTCACCAGGCCAGCAGATTGCTTCAAAGAAAGGAAGGGGCTTCAGAGAGACAGACCTGAGCTTGTCCACAGGAAGAGTGGAACCCATAAAATGGGGGGAGGGAGGTCCTTGATCCTCTCAGGACTGCAGATGTCAACCCAGGAGAGCAAAGCCTCCAGCACCTGCTCCAGCTCTGCTGGTGGTCCTGTCATGGCCTCTGCCCTTTCTAACTGCAGAAGCACTCTACTAAGCTGATGTGGTGACCCAGCCTGTAAACACTCAGAGGATAGAGGCAGGAAAAGATGGGTTCAAAGTTATCTTCTGTTACACACTGAGCTGGTGGGCTGTGTGGGCTACATAAAAGCCTGTCATTCAAAAAATAAAAACAAACAACAAAAACCAAAGTCTCAGAGGTTTGCCGGTAGGTTGCCTGCAGTGTAGAGGAAGGCCCTCCATCAATGTGTGAGTGTATGAGCAGCAGTATCAAGACCTGGATTATTAATAACAACAACAAAGAGGAGACCACAAAGTTGGGAAACAGACAGGGAATTGGAAGTAGGAAGTCACTGGGAGGATGAGCAGCTGGGAGCAGGAAGGCAATGAAAGCCACAGTGTCAGGACCTACTAGTGACACAAGGGGCAGGCTGGGACCCAGAACAGGCCATGACCCTACTACTTACTGTGGAGTCCCAGAGCCCTGGCTTCTGAGGAACACGGAGGCCATCAGTGTTCCAGGTTCAGCCACATTTGTTTTTCTTTCATGTAACTGGTCTTCCAGGCTCCGAACACAGAGCAGTCCCTCGCCTGAACTCCTCAAAGCTAGCCTGCAAGGGTGCTGGGCACCTCTGGAGGCTGTCAGGGCAAGATGAGCTGGACCCAGAGCCCATGGGTGCAGCTAAACCGAGGTTCCCATTTTACAGGCACACAAGCTAAGATCCAGAGATGGCATCAACTGTTCCAGGCCTGGAGCAAGCAGCTGCAGAGCCAAGCAGCTCCTGCCCTGCCCAGCGTGAGGGGGAGACTGAGTGAGGTGGGGCAGCCCATAGGGATTGATGCTGCTGTTTCACAGTTCTGTATCTGATAGGCCCAGAGAGGCTGCTCCTTGTCCAAACTGGAGTGCACCTTCCCGCCCAGCTCTGCTCCTTGCCCCCATCATCACATAGTACCCTATCTGGTGGAAGCTACCAGGCTTCCCAGCTCTGGACAGAAGAGCATGGCAGGGGGAGTACTTTCTCAGGACACACACACACACACACACACACACACACACACACACACACACACCTGTATAACTTATTTCACTTTCATCGTGAGCTTACAGACTCACAATGACAGGACCCAAAGCTGCCACATAGGGGTTAGGAAAGGAGGCCAGCTGGATTCTGGAACATGTCAGTATTGTTGGGGAAACAGACATCGCAGTGTACTAGGTGAGAGTCTGTCCATGACATTGATGAGATTCTAGACCACCTGTGCTAAGCCCAGGCCTCTTTGGACACATGCTGGGACTGCTAATATACCGTGGGTTTCCCAGATGAAGTACCAGCACCAACCATCTTCCCTCATCCCAAAGGTGACAGGCCTGCCTCCTTTCTAGGGACACCTGTGCAGCTTCCAGGAGGAAGTCAGGTAGGGGAGGGTTCAGTGAAACAAAATTAGGAGCAGAAAACAGGGCCCAGGAAGAGAAGCCAGAGTTCCTCCTGGCCACAGACCCACAGGTCTGCATTTCATGGCAGCAGTACAGTGGCACTGGGTGAACTCTGGGCTTCTTCCTGCCAGGTGCTTTTCTCCAGGTTCATGATTCAGTTCCGAGTAGCAACACTGGTGTTGACACCTGTCAGAGAATGATCTGGAGCCTTGTATGTGAAGGTCACAGAAAGTGGGAGCCTGGGACCAGTATCCTCAATGGTTTTAGCGCAGGGCTTTACTTAGGCATCAGACACAAGGCTCAGCTTAGGGTTTTTAATTAAAATCACTCGGCTCTTGAGAAGATACCATCTGGCAGCAGGAAGCCCGAGGAGCCAGTGGTCGCTAACTCCTTCACAACTCAGCCCTGGTGGGAAGGACCAGGGCTCCTCAAGGTTTGATCTGCTGCATGGGCTTGAGGTTGGAGGACACCTTAAAGGCGCATCCTGTGGTGGCCTTGACCTCGTCCACCGACGAGCCCTCCCACAGCTCAACCAGAGTCAGCCCCTTCCTTGGGTCCACATCAAACACGGCCTTTTCGGTGATGATGAGATCCACGCAGCGCTTGCCGGTCAGGGGCATGGTGCATTTGTCCAAGATTTTGGGCTGCTTTTTCTTGGTGCAGTGCTCCATGGTGACCACCACTTTGGTCTTGTCACCCGACACCAAGTCCATGGCCCCGCCCATGCCCTTCACCTTCTTGCCTGGCACCATCCAGTTGGCCAGGTCACCATATTTGGAAACCTGCATGGCACCGAGCATGGTCAGTTGGATGTGTCCCCCGCGGATCATGGCAAAAGAGTCATCGCTGGCGAAGAAACAGCCCCCAGGGATTACGGTCACCGTCTGCTTGCCCGCGTTGATGATGTCGGCATCCACTTCATTTTTCGAGGGGAACGGGCCCAAGCCCAGGATCCCGTTTTCACTGTGTAGGTAGACCTTCATCTTGGGGCTGATGAAGTTGCTGGCCAGGAGAGGGATTCCGATGCCCAGATTGGCATACATGCCGTCCTCAAACTCGAGAGCAGCGCGCTTGATGATGCGCGTCCTGGAGGTGTCCTGTTGCTTGCTCATGGCCGCTGGCTGACTGTCACATGTGGTCAGGCGTTCGATGCGCTTCTCGAACTTCGGCCCCTTGATCACACGGTTCACGTAGATGTTGGGGATGTGGATGTCCTCCGGGCGGAAAGAGCCCACGTCCACGATCTCCTCCACCTCCACCACCGAGATGTCAGCGGCCTTGCACATGGGCACGTTGAAGTTGCGCGCGCTGCCCCTGAAGATCACGTTGCCTGAGCGGTCGGCCTTCCAGCCCTTGATCAGGGCAAAGTCTGCGCGGATGGCGTGCTCCAGAAGGTAGTGGCGGCCCCCGAACTCGCGCACCTCCCGTGGTTGGCTCAAGGTGACCAGGTGGCCTTTGGGAGAGTACCGGATCGGGGCGCCCCCTTCCTGCACCAGCGTGCCGTAGCCCGTAGGCGTGTAGAAGGCGGGCACACCAGCGCCACCTGCACGGATGCGCTCGGCCAGGGTGCCCTGGGGCGTCATCTCCAGGTCCAGCTCTCCCGCCAGGTACAGCTGCTCGCACAGCTGATTCTCCCCCAGGTATGAGCACACCACGCGCCTGACCTGCTTGGAGGCTAGCAAGATGCCCAGGCCGAAGTCATCCACGCCCACGTTGCTGCTGACGATCTTCAGGTCCTTCACGCCCCTGGTCTTCAGCGCGCCTATCAGGTTCTCGGGGATGCCACAGAGCCCAAAGCCCCCGAGCATGACGGTCGCCCCGTCCTTGATGCCCTCCAAAGCCTTCACCGGATCCGTGTAGAAGTGGACGCGTCCGCTGCGGTCGCTAGCAAAGCGGAGGGCAAGGCGGTGGGGCAGCACGGGCCGTGGGCGGTGGACGGAGACCCCGCGCGGGAGCGCCCATGCCAGAAGCCTCAGTGCCGCCATCGTCAGCGGGCCACCGGGCTCCTGGGTCCCCGACAGAGAGGGGAAGGCCCAGTGCACCGGGTAAGCCTGCTGCATGCCACCTCTGTGCTGCTGCGTCACAGAGCAGGGAGGACACCGACCAGGATCGCCATGGGTCTCACCCTGAGGACAGCCTTGGCCATCCCCGTCGCTTGGCCTGTCTCTCAAGATCTTGGACAGACACTGGAAACATTTGGTAATGCTACTGACGACTGGGAGCAGGCAGCCTTGAGGGGCTGAAGTTACCAGGTCTTTTAAAGCCACAGTCACATCTGTCACCCACTGCTGGTAAACTGTTCTAAACTTTCCAAGTACCTTGTCAGTTTTCCCTAACTCAGAGTGACCCCTGCCATCTCTCTGCCCCTCTCCTTCCAAGCTATCCCTCCAGCCTTTGCTAGACCCCAGACAGGCCAGTCTCCTGCCCTGCTGCCCTTACTGTCCTCACAGAAAGGAAATGTCCCACGAAAACCCTGTGGCGGAAGTAGTGACTATAAACTGTGCAGACGAGGAAACTGAGGCTCAGGTACCGAGTTACAGCACTGCAGAGCAGGTATAGCCCAGGCCTGTGCACTCAGAAGTTGGGGTGCAGATCCCCCACCCCTCCTTCCTAGTGCAGAACCTCTCAGAGTGGAGGCTACTGCCCATGGAGAATCTCCCTTCCCCGAAGGGTACCAGAGCTGGCCCTCAGGTCAGTTGCTATTACGAAGGACAGGAAGCCTAGCTGAAGCCTCCCCCATCCAGGACCTCACCACTCTACCCACCTCAAGAAGGGCCAAGCATGGGCCAGGGAGAGGGCTCCCTGTACTAGGCTGGCAGCCTCTGCTGGAACCACCTCCCAAGACCCCCCCAGGGCAGCTCCCTACTAAGGCCTGGAGCCTCACCATCCTGGGTTTCCACATAGAGACGGAGTCCCAGGTCCTTGTTATGGCTCAGCAACCAGCGGTCACTGGCTGCAGTGATATCCAGCACCAGCCAGCCCTCGTCCCCAGATCGGAGCGTCTGAAGATCCAAAAAGAACAAGTCAGACTCCCTGTGGACACGAAAGAACAATTAACCAAGGCTGAGGTCGGCAAGCCTGACTGTATCTTGTGCCTGCCTGGGGGACCACTTTCAGAGCCTCTTCCCTGCTTGGCTCTGGGCTGGCCTCCTTTGGTACCACATTTCACCGATAACCAACCCCTGGCATTTTACTGTGTCCGTGTGCTGGTGGGGACACTGTCTCCGGGGCTCAGTGCTGTGGCCTATTGAGGGTTCCACTGTCCCCAGCAGGGCAGGGAGTTCCAGGCCAAGCCCCTTTCTCGTGTCTGAGGTGCCTCTCCCAGCAGGCACCCCTTTCCTTTCTTGGAAAAGCACCCTCTGGACAGGCCCTGCCAGAGCCTAGAACCATGAGACCATGAGATGGGGTGGGCACCTGGGCAGAGGGAAGGTACCTGTTGGAGTGCTCCTGGACCACCTCGAACATGCTGACATGGAGGGTTGTGTTGAGCGGGTGGGTGCTGGGCTCTTTGTATATCCGAAACTCCGCAGCTGTGACAGCCTCCCCTGCAGGGATCTGGGTTAGGTCAAAGAGGAATTCCTTCCAGTGTGGCTCCTGGTAGTCCAGGGTACGGTCACGCTCCACTGGAAGACAAGGAGCGAAGGACATCATCTCTGGGAGTCAATATGGCTTGTGCTCAGAGTAGGACCCCAGGCAGCCTGGGTGTGGCCCTTTCCTGTTCTACACACAGCTTGTGGTCTGCTCTGGGAGAACACCAGGCCCCAGGAGGTGGTGCAGTGGGAAACTCAGCAAGTGCTCAGCAGCCCCTGGACCCACTCTGAATCACGGTGCCTCCTCTCAGAGCTCCTAGGCCAACGCTGAGATGGCCATAGGTCCCAAGGCAGAAAATCAGCACAGTTCCAGGGTAAAACCCTGTCTGCAGGGACAGAATTGGCTGAATTTCAGTGGGCAGAGGACTCCCAGAGCCTGTCCTTGATGAGAGGGTTGGGTCGGGGAAGCTCAGATCTGACAGCTGATCTGGGCTGTTTGTTCTGTTTGAATTTCCTTCAGTGTCCTGGGAGAGAGATGTGCAGAACACAGGTCACATTACAAGATCATCAACAGAAGGACCTTAGGAAATGGAGAGACACCCAGTGCTGGCAACTAGGGGACGAAGGACCCATGTTTCCTTGTGGGTAAAGAAGGAAAATGGAAGAGCAGAAGTAAGAAGGAATGCCAAAAGAGGGGAGCAGCTCCTGGACAGGCAATCACGGGTTGGAGAAGTGTGTTCCACTGCGTTTTGGGATCTAGACAGGCTTTGTGGAGGATGGGGCAGACACCTGAGCGTGTCTTTGAAGTTTTAGAATCAGGTCAAGTTTTTTGGTGTCTTTCTCTAACAGATGTAGTTCTCTGCTCCTTTCTGCACAGCTGTCATGGGTGGTAAGAACACCAAAATGAACAAGAGAGTTAAGCTCAGCTCTAATGGGGTTTACTTAGCAAGGGAGGGCCAGACGGTGGTGGCTCATGCCTTTCATCCCAGCACTCAAGAAGCAGAGGCAGAGGCTGTGAGTTCAAGCCAGCCTAGTCTACCTAGTGAATTTCAGGGCAGTCAGGGCTACTTACCGAGGCCCTGTCAAAAGAAGATGGAGAAAGAGAAGAAGAGAAGGATGAAGAGGAGGAGATAGAATGTAATGATAAAAAAATGTTGTAAATGTGTGAGGTGTTAGGGTTTGATCCCACACCATCACCACCCCCTGCTCCCAAAAAAGCCAACTAGGGAATGTCATTCCTTTGTAGGTGGTAGTAAGAAATAGGAAACAGAGGAGGTCCTGGGCTCAAGAATGATGGAGATTGGTTTGATGCTTTCCATAGGGTCAGTAGGGCCTTTGAGAAAGTAACAGGTAAGATCAGACAGGTTAACTCTCAAGAGGTAAGACATGCAGAACGGACAGCAATGCTTGTAGAGGCATTTTGCAAAATGGATTGAATTGACCATTCCATGCAAGAATTTCAGACATGCTGGGCAAAATCATGGAAGACATGCAAACATCAATGCCCTGGGCACAGAGAAAGTTATACTTGTTTCCACAAGCAAATATGCTGGCTAGTTTTATGTCACTTTGACACAAGCTGCAGTTATCTGAGAAAAGCACAATTGAGACAATGCCACCATAAGTTGGCCTGTAATTCATGATTGATAAGGAAGGACCCAGCCCACTGTGGGTGGTGCCAACCCTTGGCAGCAATCCTGAGTTGTATAAGAAAGCAGGCTGAGCAAGCTGCCATGAGCAAGCCAGTAAGCAGCACCCCTCTGTGGTCTCGACTTCGGTCCCTGGCTCCAGGTTCCTATCCTGCTTGAGTTCCTTCCTTGACTTCCCTCAGTGGTGGAGTGTGACCAGACTGTGGTGTGACCCCTTGTGTCAGTGGGTTGTGTCCCCTCTGGATGGTGAGCTCCTTAGGGCAGTAACTGAACATGGCCGGTGGGTGGATGGCTTGCAGCAGCCTGCTCACCAAGTCACTGTTCTGGGGACAGAGAGAGTGAACATCTGTTCTTCCCCATGGCTCAGAGTCCATCACTCACAGCTCCTGGGGCTGGGGTGCGGCTGCTGGTCTGAGTGACAACCATGTCACAGTGAGTCTCCATCGAGGCCACTGATGTCTGCACTTACTGTGGGATTTGCTTCTTTTCCTGGTGGGACTTTGAGGGTGGGGACAGGATCCAGACCTGAGGAGGGGGTGCACTGGGCATGACTGTCCTATGCTGCTGGTACCAAGGGCTGAGGGGCCCACACCAGACTTAGAAGTCTCTGGGCTTGTGCTGGACCTCAGAGGAGGGTGGAGCCCTGGGGTTGGTGACTTGTGCATTCTACACCTGAAGGAATTTCTCCCGCCAGGAGCCGCAGCGCCATGGCAAGGCCCAGGCTCACTCCTGGGGTACTTTCAGCTGAGTCTCCGCACTGACTTTCTTCACAGGCCGTTTCCATAAGCGGCTCTGCACACATAATTACTGGTCCAGTCCTCAGCTGGCTCCAGACCCCAAATTAAAAGGGAACACCCGCACAGGCCACCACATCAAGCCTGCTGAGGTAAAAAATAATCCCCAGGAGATGTGAGCAAGGGTGTGATTCCTCCAGAAGAAACTCAAAGAACTGAAATGTGAGAATGTGACAGAAAGATGTGGCCATGATGACACATGCCTGCCTATTTCACTATCCCATGACTCACTTTTGGAGAGACCCCCATCAGAGGGAAGGCTGTGTGGACACAGTTTGAGTCAGAACTGGGAAGGTCTTCTGGGTTGGGGTTCAGGGGCAGGGAAACTGAGGCAGCTCTCCATTGAGGTCACATAACAGCTCAGGGTAGTGTGCTATAGCCTTCCAGACTCAAGCCATGGAAGTGAATGGACTGGAGTTCAGCGGGGGCCTATTGAGGTGGAGGCGACTCTCAGCATGTTTTGTCCACGAGGACCCTAGAATGCCTGTTGAAGTTACCTTCCTCCTGCTGGGTCCCATGGAACTGGTGGTGTCAGGAGACACTCAGAGATGTGCTCACTGCTGGTGTCACAGAGATGGGGACGGCTGGCTTCCATCCCACCTGATGCAGCTCTGTGCTCCCTGACTCCCACTGGGCTGTCTCCTTCCCCTCTGCCAGCCTGCGCTGAGCACCTGCCCACAGGGGCTGTGGCACATGGTGGTGTGAGGGCCATGGAGAATCTAGTTTGGCTGTTTCCATATTGTTCAGGTTCTCTAGTACCAGGAAAGATGTGGGCTGGCTGTGGCCCCAAATCCAACAGGCAGACAAAACCAAGTAACCTAAGAAATGTAGCACCATTCAAACCAAGGAGGAGCTTGTCTCTCAGGGATGAAATCGGGCTGTGAGCAGTCAAGACTTTCCAAAACTGCAGGTGTCTTGGTGTAGTTCAGTGATGGAGGTACTTGCCCAGGAAGGGCAAGGCCCAGGAGAGAGGGGCTAGTTTCACAGATTTATTTATTTATATTTATTTTTACTAGAGTTTGAACTCAAAGTCTCAGTAAAGTCCCAGGCAAACCTTAAACTGGAGACACTCTTACCTTAGTGTCCAAGTGACTGGGTCTTTAGGCTCACATACTACTAGGCCTAGGTCAGAGCAATTTTCTTCAAGTAACTCAAAACTGGAAAGAACCAAGTATCCATTAATAATAAATTAATATGGATACATTGTGGGCTATCCATTCAATAGACTTCAAGTCAAAAAACTAAGACCAGAAACAAGCCTGGGGAGATGTTCAGAGGTAAGGATTTGCCATGGAAGCTTGAGGATGGACTTCAGATCATCAGAACCAAGGTAAAAACTGGGCAGGCAAGGTGGCTGTCTGTATTCCCAGCACTCAGGTAGCAGAGGCAGGATCAGCAAGACCAGCTGGCTAGTTAAACCCATTAGAAGTAGTGCACTTTGGGTAATGACACAGACCCTATCTCAATAAAGTGATGGCAACTGAGGAAGGCACCAAACATCAACTTTGCCCCCACCCCAAGCATGTGCACCTATGTACGCATGTGCCCACACACATGAATGTGCATGCACACATGCACACATAGTGCATGCATAATATTTTTTAATAAAACATGCCTATTTTATTATGCAAAGCCCTGGGGGAATGGCTAGTAAAATTGGGATTCCCATTGAAGACCCTGGATTTGGATGGCTTGAATTTTATCTGAAAATTCTGGGAACATAGGAGTACTTTATGAACAGAATTCTCAGCTTATAGCATCCATTCACATTTAGTCTACTACTGTAGCTCTTACTACTCCCAGGGACAGGACTGGCCCCCCAGCTGAGGATGGAGGAAGCCATACGCAGCGCAGAAGCACAGGGTGCCGATGAACTGCTGTGTGGCCCTGAGAATATCACCAGCCCTCTCTGAGCCTCACTCTCCTGAGGCAGTACTGAGTGCAAATGCAGCTCTGATGGGCTGTCCACGGTGAGTCTGCATCGAGCATTCTGCTTGCTTGTTCATGCCACCGATCCTGTTAGGATACTCGGGTAATATGAAGGGAAACATGACATGGTAGGAAACTTTGGAATCCATAACTATGGATGTGGCTCTAACCAAGTTGTGTGGGCCTGGACTAGCCATAAAGCTAGCCATTTAGCCTGAGTCCATAGAACAGGGATTCCCACACAATTCATACACTGTTGCTAGGAGTCAATAACGAATGGAAGAATGTGAAAGGCCAAGGCTTTTAGAATTCATTTCTAGGCTTAAATGTACACAAGACACAGACATATATCTATCTTATGCCCTCTTCCTGTGTTTGTGTGTGTGTGTGTTACAGGGCCTCACTCTGATGCCCAGACTGGCCTTGAAGCTGTAGCAATCCTCCTGCCTCAGCCTCCCGAGTGCTGGGATGACATGCACAAGTCACCATGACCATCACTTGAGATTTTGTTTTTGTCACATATGCAAAGCTGAGCTTCAGGCATCAGGGATGGGGACCAGCAGGGACTGGACCCAGCTCACCCCTCACTGGCTTTCTGCTCATCCATTTGTCATCTCTAGTGATTTACTAGGAGTCCCCGAAGGAAGCAACATGTAGCTTGGCGAGAGCAAAGGATGTCTCTAAAGGTGCATTGCAGTATTGGATCCTGCTCTGTTCACAGCAACAGTTCCCATCAGGGCTGTTCATGTCTTGACCCAGAAAGTTGGGGGAGGGGAGAAAGGCATGGGCTGGGAGGTGACTCATTCTGATCAGAGGCTCCCCAGGGCCATTCTTGGGCAGCTCTAGCCTTAGTTTTTCTCTTCCTGCACCCTAGGTCAGCCTTTCTGAGAATGGAGAGCCAGTCTCATGCCCACATGCGGAAGGCCGTTGGCTGCAGCCCCCTCCTGGCTGTGGGCTCTTCAGTGCCAGCTAAGGACTGCCTTCTTCCCTGTGCTCTCCACTACTTTAGGCACCAGCAGCTGTGGGTCAGAGACTAGAGATTCAGCTGTCCCCTTCTCCTAACCAGGTAGGAAACAAGTGGCTGATGACACCATAAACCTGCTGGAAAGTTCCTCTTACCCTGGAAGGAATGCCAAAAACTGAGCACAGGATACAGAGCCAAGCAGCCTGGGCCTTTATCAGGCTGTTTCCAGGCTGCCACTGTCTCCCTGCCCTTGACTAGGAAATAGGAGTGAACACTGTGGCTTTTCCCCATGCCTCTGGGAGAATGAGCAACACAATGTAACCAGGGACTGGAGGCTATGGCACCAGTCTTCCTGCTCTGAGTTCAAGGCCTGGTACCAGACCAGCCTAGTGTCTGCTGCAACCCAGGCTGCAGGTGGCAACCAGACTAAAAGAAATTCTTGTGATTACAGATAAAAAGCTTTGAGGAAAATGCCTTCAAGACAAGTAGGAGAAAGTGGTCCCGAGGGCAAGAGATAGCTGGAGAAAGGAGCCATACTTTGGGAGATTGGAGAGTGCCATAGCCTCCCTTGGGTCATCCATTGGCCTAGACACTCACTCTATGCCAAGCCAAGGTCCATCTGCGGGGCGCCAAGCCCACAAGACTACAGTCATAGTCTGAGTCTGTCCACTCCGTCACCTGACCGTGCACCCCACCCACCCACTTCCTGCTACAAGGAAAGAACCTGCCGTCAGGGCGTGTGGGTCAGCTGTGGTCACTTCAACGATATGACCACAGGTTTCTACTCTGAACTTTGTCCCTCTCTTCAGGGCTGCATTTATTACAATGACAGCATCACAGCCTCTGTTTACTCATCAGTCTTCCTAGGACCATCAGTTTTCCGGGGACCTGGGCATCACCAGATTCCCACTCCTGGGTGCCATGGTGAACCAAGGCCCAGAGAAAGCAAGATAGCCCTCAGACCTTCCTGTTCTGACCCCTGTAGTCCTTGTTTTGCCGTGGTCCTATTCGCTGCACTGTGTTTCCCTGTCCCAGGGGCCTCACACTCCTAGGGGACTCATTCCCTCACAGGTGACTAGAAACATCATTCCCGGATAGGCGGCCATGTGCTCTCCATGTGGAGACCGCAGCCACCTGGGCTCTTCTCGCACTTACCCATGTTGACGAAGCTCATGACTAGGTCGGAGCGCCCCAGGTGAGGTGGAGGGGGCCCACCGTTGTCATCATCAGCCATGGCATGGTACAGATCCAACATGAAAAGGGGCGCGGATGCTGGCTGCCGGGAGGCGGCGGGGGACGCACGAGGTCGGGGCAGCTCAGGCAGCCCGAGCACCGCCAGGATCTCTCTCTGCATATCTCGGCGCTCGTGTATTCCCAAGCGACGCTGGGGAAAGACATACGGGGGACGCAGGCGGTGGCCGCTACCCAGAGCGCACAGAGCCAGGCCGAGCAGCCAGAGGAGCCCAGGACGCACGGCCATCTCAGACGCTCAGCGGACTCGCATCCAGCTACTCCCTGACGGCGAGGACCGGACGGCACAGAGGATCCCCTGAGTTCGCACCTGTCGCTGGCAGCTCCACAGTGACTGCGCACCACGCGCTCTGCAGGCGATCGCTAAGCCTGGAGGACAGTAGAGCAACCGTGGGCTCCCGAGGCGCGGACCCGCTAGTGTCAGGAGCACGACCCGCCTTTAGGGCCTAGACCTAGGTGCTCTTCCTCGGCCCCGCCCCTGCCTGGACCAACCAATGAGGGTTCGGGGGCGGACCCAGGTCAGCTGGTTGTACCGCTGCTGCAGCACTGGGTGGTGGTAGCAACTTTGCGACCCCGAAGTAGGTTATGGGGGTGGGGGGAAGATCCGAGGAGAAGCCATCAAGGGTGTCCTAGGTCCCCCTCCATCTTCTGGGGCATATGCCGGGCTCCGCGCGGAGACTTCGGGGTCTCTGAAGCCAGCACCTGCGTCCTGGGGCGGGTAGTCCCGAGTGGGGAGGGTTGTTCCGCGTTGGAGAGGATCCTGAACCCGGGAACTGTGGTAGGATCCACAGCCACGCGTCTCCGCACGCGCCTATAGTTCCGGTCGTCGGGGCCAGGCGGATGCCATCTGTGCCGCGAGGGTGGGACACATTCTGTCCCCAGAAGCAGCCACGCTTGCCAGGCGCCTTGCCTGCCTCTCTCCGAGGCGCGCTTGCCCAGATGTGCTCGTTCACCGGCCTTCCGCTTGCTTGGGCTTGCTGAGGACCCAGTTGTTGAACCAACCCGGGACGAACTCTGAGGCAACCCGGAGGAGGGAAACCGAGGCACATAGAGCTTAAACACCTAACCTCGGGTCGCACAACAGAGGAATTGGAGAGATGCCGGCAAAAGGTGGCTGCTGGAAGGGCTGCCAGGAGAAAGACCATACAGCAATGGTTCTCAACCTTTTTTCAGGGGTTGCATATCAGGTATTTACGTTATGATGCACAACAGTGGCAAAATTATAATTATGAAGTAGCAACGAAAGTAATTTTTTTTTATTGGGGTGGGTCACCACAACAGGAGGATTCGTATTAAAGGGTCTCAGCGTTAGGAAAACTGAGAACCTTTATGGCGTAAAGGTCCCAACGGGCAGTATGCTACATGAGGGTTTTGAGCAATTATGGATTCTCCAGGGTGGATTCAAAATAAAATTCCAAATAAATGTGTGATGGCCTCCAAAATCATCTTGATGTGATCCTTTCGAAGTTTTAAATATTATTTTTTTAAAGAAAGTTTTCTTTTTTCTTTTTAGAATTATTTATTTATGTATGCGTGCTCTATCTGCATGTACGCCTTTATGCCAGAAGAGGACATCGGATCCCACTAGCGATGGTTGTGAGCCACCAAGTGGTTGCTGGGAATTGAACTCAGGACCTCTGGAAGAGCAGCCAGTGCTCTTAACTTCTGAGCCCTCTCTACAAACCCCCTGAATTAAATTCTTAATGTAATCTTTCAGTAGAGTCTCAAGCACACACTAGTCTGTCTTGTAACCAAACCTACGGATCAATTTCCATACAGCTTCAAAGCCCCACAAACTCAACACATAATACCAAGTAGCCATTGAAAGTGACAAGGGGAGACAGAGGCAAGAACTGAAGACAAGTGTGGTTTGGAATGAGGAGGAGGGACTTAGATGCTGATGTTGGAGTCAGGTAAAGTGTGTGTGTGTGTGTGTTGTGTAGCAGTGAAGTGGGAGAAGAAGGGAAAGCTATTTGGAAGACTGAATCCCCAGGGCAAGCCTTGATGACTGAGGCATAGGGCTTTGTGCGTGTACGTGCGTGCATGCGTGTGTGTTGCAGTGCTGGGGATTGTATCCAGAGCCGTGTACATACTAAATGAATACTCAAATATTGATCTAAACTCTCAACCTTGTATAATAGTTACTACACACAAAAAAATGATCACATTTGCTGTATTCACTTAATGTATTCTCTTAATGATATATTCCAGCATTTTGCCATGGTACTTCTCAGATTTGTGAAACTGGCTTCATGACGCCATAATTTACTTGAAGAAGCCTATGATATTAAATAATATGGTTGTATTTTTATGTTACATATAATGTTATGAACAATGTCATAAAATAAGCTGTGTCTGTCCACAGTATCTTCTTCAGGACACATTTCAAAGGTGGATATTTGGATCAAAATAAATACACATCTATCAAATAGTATGAGGGTTTCATTTCATCTTGCCAGCAGTGGACATTATTATCAAGTAGAGAAGTCAGTCTGACCAGGTGACAGGCTGGGGTGGCATTAGCACACACACACACACACACACACACACACACACACACACCACAATTGGTGTGCAGTGGATTTCACTAATGTTTAAAACAGGATTTTCCAACTGTTTCCACCAACATAGTCACTGTGTCATCTGAAGGGTGACTAGACCTTGCCCCCTGAGCTGCAGGGGGTGGGGAGCAGCATTTTATGACCTGAGGCCCTGCTCAATCCTATCTCAGGATCCTAGAGGCCACTGTGGAGCAGAGGCCCTGCAATGACTCTTTGGATGACCACTGAGGGTCCAAAGGGTACCTCACTTGCCTCCTTGGCTGGTACCCACAAAATGCTGAGAAAATCCAGTTTATGATCTTTCCAATGTGTAGTTACACATCCTAAAGGAACACATGACCATAATGACCCAGCAAGGCTCATGCTTCAACCCCCAGCAACAATAATATTTAAGTAAAAATCCATTAGTGCTTCGTCTGCCTACCTGGGATGTCACCAGCTATCTGGGATACAGACTGCAAACTGCCACTAACAAATATCAAGAAAACAACAACAACCAGTGGAGGTTACAGTCTGTATTACGGGTGAGGGTGGGGCTGGGCCTCAAAGGTAGAGCTCTTGCCTAGCATGCAGGGACTCTGGGTTCAGTCCCCAGCACTACAAGAATCCATATCTGTAAAGCAGGAAGACATCATGGTTCCACAGGACAAGCTCAAGCCATGATAAATATTGCTATGTCTGACTCAGAAGTGATTCAAACTCTTGTGTTTACTTTGAGAGTCGGTGGAAGTCAATGTCCTTGAAGGTTCCTATGGAAATTAAATTCATGTTTCAACCACAAGGAGGGATATCAATGGATGAATGGACCAGCTTTGCTTGGTGAGACAGAAAGGACTGAGGCTGGGCGGAGGTGGGGGGAACCTTTCATTATGAACTTTACAAACTGTTGAATCTAAACCAAACCAAGTTTTTGCAAATTCTTTGTGGCTGATGCAGAATGCCAGCAGCAGCTTGTAGAAACAGCTGGGGCAGGGAACCACCTCTCTGCAGACGTGTGCTGTCAGGCTGGACATCTCCAGAGGGCTAACCTACAGTGGAAGCAATCAAACAGCCTTCCCATCAGCTCTTGCCCCTTGCCTCTGGGTATCCATGAGCTTCACACCTAGGTAGAGGTTGTCATGTACAGGCTGGCCTTGGGCGCCTCCTCACATACCCAGATGATGAAATACACAAACCACTCAAAAACTATCCTGAAAACAGCAGGGATCCCCCTAACCTGCACTAAGATAAGTGCATAAACCCTCAGCTAGAGGGCAAGATGGTTTGAATTCCATACAGAAAAGTCTGGCTTGGTGGCATACCGCTTTTATCCCAGTACTCAAGAGATAGAGACAAGCATATCTCTGTGAGTTCGAGGCCAGCCTGGTCTACATAGTGAGTTCCAGGACAGCCAGGGCTACAAAAAAAGAAAGGACCTCTATGTTGGGACAGAAATATAATCAGACTGACCAAGATGACACCCAAAGCAAAGACGACAAAGGAAACAAAACAGAGCAATTGGACTTTTAGATGTCATCAGAATTGAAATGTCACCAAATGTGGTGGGTACAGCTGTAAGGGTGTGATCCAGGCTGGCCTGGATTATATAGACAGCTTGAATATAGCTTTGGCTATATAGTTACACCTTGTCTCAAAAATAAGCAAAACACCACCTTTGTGTGTCAAAGGACAATATGAAGAGAATAAAAGGCACACGGGTTGAACATGGTGGCTCACACCTGCAATCCCACCACTCAAGAAGCTGAAGCAGGCAAATTGCCCTGAGTTCTATCTAGCCCAACCTGGTCTACACAGCCTGTTCTGGGCCAGCTTGAACTACAATGAGACTGGTTCAACAAACAGAAGAGGTACTCCACAGAGTGAGGGAAAGTTGGTTATTCATTTTGGATAAATGAAAGTATACATACATACATATATATATATATAGTATGTATATTCATTACATTTGTTTTATGTATGCTTGTGTGAGTGTATGTGTGTGTGCCTGTGCCTCTGTGTGTGTGTGTGTGTCTCTGTGTGTGTGTGTGTGTGTGTGTGTGTGTATGCACAGTACACACATGGTAGTAAGAGGAGAACTATCAGGAATAGGATTCTTTCCTTCAGAACTGAGGCTTGAGCTTGGTCACCAGGCTTGTGTAGCAAGCCCCTTTTGCCCATTGAGTCATCTTGCTTGTCTCTCTTTTGTTTTTGTTTTGCTTTAAAAAAAAAACCAGACTGTATTTTATGTACAACAATACAATTTAAACTATAACACTAAAATAGAAGTATTAATATAGTTTTAAACAGAAGAAAAGCAGGAAATGATTCAGGGTACAAAACTCCCCTCAACACAGTTTTTAAAATTGTTTCTCTCTCTCTCTAAGTGGGTAAGGGTGACAAATGTAACTAGTGTGTCTAATTCTCAGTGCACCAATGGTCAATGAATTAGAAAGAAAGCCCAACATTCATAGCCACTCCTTAGAAGAATAACACACACTGGATTTTTTATGCAAAAAAAACGGGCCTGGATATTTCAATATCCGGGAAGGTGAATCCACAAACCCACCACACAAAAAGAAAAAAACAAAACAAAACAAAACAAAAAAAAAAACTGTGATGGAGTTGGCACTAGAAAAAACAAGACTTAATACCCTCTTCCCTGACTTGTGTGTCCTGCTCCTGCACGCCCCCTCCTCCGCACCTGTTATTGCCCTTCCCCTGTGTGATTCCAAGTCTTAGACTATAGGCACACTTACTCTTGATCACACGGATGTGTGCAGCATAGGCTGGCGTCTGCACAGAAGGCAGGGC